GGGAGGGGAGATGATTACAGATCCTAGAACCATCTTCCTTTCCCGAGTAAATACATAAATGAATAATAAATTGCATTTTATTGATCCCTGCAGAGTAATTTGGGTTACAATAGCAAACATACATAGATCTACATAAATACATAATTATGATACATACATACATAAATTTATATACATACATCCGTAAATACATACATAAATGCATACATAAATACATACATTAATACACAATATTACACCGATACAGAATAATTTAACAAACATGCAATAACTTTTCGCCATTCTACAGGTTCCCCCTGTATTTCTTGCTCTGGTTTAGTTTTAGCAAGCATTCTACTGCACTTGCAGCACAAGTGCTGGAGATTAGAAGTGTTACAAGAGAGTAAAAAGCACCAAAAAATAAGGAGAGATTTATAAGGATGATTGATGCTGATGATCATCATCCGGTGCCTTGCCGACTGGCGTGGGCGATCATGGACCTCCACTTCACTCAGTCTTGTGTTGCAACAATGGTGTCTGTTGTTCTTGCTGCTCTCAGCCATGTTGTCATCTTGTCCAGTATCTTTTCCCTCTGTCTGCCTCTGCCTCTCTTTCCTTCCATCAAACTCACCTGTTGTTACAATATTCTCCAATGCTACTTTCCGCATTGTGTGTCCGGAGACATTTATTGCCTGTCGCTTTCGTATATTCGTCATAAACTGTCTTCTGCTGTTTACTTCAACCAAGACTTCTTCATTTGTTTTTCTAGCTGTCCATGGGATACGTAGCATGCGTCTTATGAACCACAACTCTGTCCCCACAATTGTTCTTTCCAGCTGTTTACTGATTGTCCATGCTTCGCACCAGTATATTAGGATTTGCTCGATGTAACTTTTCAGTACTCTTTTTCTCGTTTCCAGTGACAGATTGATGTTTGTGAGTATCTGTTTCATTTTGTGGTAGGTTGCTTTTGCTTCGCAAATGCGGTTTTTAATTTCGGTGTGACATCTCCAATCTGATGATGTTATGGTCCCCAAATGTTTAAAAAGGTGTACTTGCTTGAGGGTAGTGTCATTGATTTTGATATTGCATGTTGGGGTTGGAGTTTTTCTGCTTTTCACC